AGGGGAATGTTTAAGTGTTACATTCCTATTACTCTGTATAAAAGAATATTATTTAATCACTGAGAAGTCTAAAGACACTTCTCACAACACAACTCTGGAAACTAAAAGCTAAGGTTCACTTTTCAAGCAATAAGCATATAAACATTCATAGAAAAAAGTGGAATAAAAATTTCAAATACGTTATAGGGATTACTTCTGTCTTAGTCCATGTGTGCTGATATAACAAAATACCATAGACTACATAGCTTATGAAGAACAGAAATTTATTCCTCACATTTCTGGAAGTTAAAAGTCCGAGAACAAGGTGCTGGGATGGTCAGGTGGGGGTCCTCTTCTCAGTCCCAAACTTCTCATTGTGTCCTCAAAGGCAGAAGTTAGGGAGCTCGTGAGGCCTTTTATATGAGGGCACTAATCCCATTCTTGCCGGCTTCACTCATAACTTATTCAGCTCCCAAAGGCCCCACCTCCTAATGCCATCATATTGAGCATAAGGATTTCAACATGAATTTTTTGGGGGGGAGAAAGGGGTGTGAACATTCAGACATGTCTACAAATTCTGATTGTAGAACTAGAAATCATGTTATGGTTAACTCCTAATATACCAAAATATTCAGTTGTATTAGCCACCATGTTCTTTAGTGATGTTGATAAACAAAACACTTTTGTGACAAAAGAATTTTAAACAGTTAAATACATTTTGATGATGATATAAAATAAAATTTATATGGTCACAGTAAGAGCTGGCATTTAATGAACTCTGATTTGAGTCAAGTACTGTGCTAAATACTTTCATTCCTCTATGAAGTAGGTATCAGTCTAATATGTTTATAGATGAGGAAAATAGATTTTTTAAAAATGAAATAACTATTTCAGTATCACATGGCCAGTCAGGGGCAACGGCAGATTTGATCCAGATTGTTCTGCCTTCTGACCTTCTGCTTTGGAACGCTTTAGTCCACAGAAAGAGTTGACCATGACCTACCATGAGTTAGCTTATACTTTAATTTTGGTGGAGACAGTAAATCATTTTTAGGTAGTTTACCATTACTGAGGGCAATTGCTATTCAGATAATTACTATCTTTTAACTCTGCGTCAGAGATTTACTCCTTTATCTAAGATAAGTACTTGAACTTCTTATTGCTGACAAAATATATAGAACACTAACAAAGCTGAGTATATTTACAGTTTTAACCAATTTTAATTAAACCAAAATTATAATATAAACTCTTTTTCATGGAAAAGTCCTTTCAGAAAAGATGTTTTCTGAAAATAAAACTAGCACAAAATTTCAAGCTAGAAGACTGGAGTTAATTTCCTAATAAATAAAGAAAATATTAGAACCATGGAAAAGTCAAACTGGCCTTTTAAAAAGCTGACAGTTTCATTGAGTCTGCCTCTGAATGAGATGTTGGGGACTCTCTTGGCAAATCTCCCAGATGTCCAGGTAGAACAGGATACACTGATTAACCAAAACAGTCTGCTTTTGCTCAAACTCACCTCCGCTCTAACCAAGTGTGAAGCTTATCAAACTGCCAGATCAAGAGAAAGACAGTTTTTACCTGAGGAGGGGAACTGAGCAAACTGCACTGAACACGCGGAGCCCTTATAACCTCAGAGAGTCACAGTTTCACATTACCTAGAAGAAATGCTAGATCAAGAAAAGTTCCTAGAGAGAAGCAAAATATGCAAAATAAAGAGAGGGACTATTTTATAAATTGTATTTAATGTGAAACAAAGAAAACACAATTAAAAGTTTTATCTCAACTTTTAGGAAGGAATAATTTCTAGAAAAACATCCCATAAATGTAAGGTCTAGAATTAAAAACTAAATTCTTTTAAGATTTTGTAATTTTAGTTGGTAAAGATTCTAATGATCCCACAATTTAAAATTATTTTAAAAGGACAAGCCCAGGAGTTACCACGATTTGTTTTAAGGAATCTGTATGTTTAAAACTTAATGAATTAAATACAGGCTGTATTTCTCAGATATACTTTTTTAAAAAAAAAAAAAAAAAAAGCATCATGTTTTTTAATTAACGGATAATGTCCTCAAGTTAAAAAATAAAGAATGTCCCTTCCCCTGAGCTACCCTTGGAAGGTAGTAGTCAGTAATGCAATCAAATATGTAGGGTTATTTCAGCTGCCTGCCAAAATATTGCTCATGACTATTTAAGTATGCAGAAAAACGCCATTACATCAATGACAGAAAGGGCATGATTGTTCTTATTTCTGGAATTCTTCTGATGTGAGTCAACTCACGGGGTGGAGTTTCACTGGAAAATGGCTTTAGGAATGTTTTAAATGAAGGAAGAACAGAACCAAGCCTTCAAACACAAACATAATGGAAAACCATAGAGCCAGACTTCCCCCAGCAAGCAGGGACAGAGACCCAATTCAAAGTAAAGTCTGTAGTTACAAAACACTCCAATTTTCTGTGCCGTTTTTTATTTTTATTAATGGAACATTAATTGTTCCTCTTTAATAATCCAAATAAAAAACATTTCACCCTCCATATACAAAAATAAAATTATGTGACTTTGCTTTTCATTTCAGAACCAGCAACATCAGATTAAATGAAGAGATAGAATATGAGATTATTTTAAGTATTATTTTTATATTTGACCCCAAATCCATTATTTATGCATCTCCAAATTTGGATAATTTGGAGATGCATAAATAATCCATAACTAAAAAAGAACTTTCTGATATATATTTTAAACTCATAGAATTAAAAATATGACATGGTAGAGAAGGCCCACTCTGCCTGGGCTGATCACATATAAACTCTGTCTCTTGTAACTCCCTCTAGAGACGGAGATGAAGTGATCCAGTTTATGATTGTCAGGTGTTGCCTACAGAAATAAGTTCTTCTGTGGATTTTATAATTTTATGCATTTGCTTTGTCTTTCCAAGTAAGTGAGGCTAAGGAGCTTTCTTTTATCTGTCTTGTTATTCCCCCACAGGGTGTATTATAGAGCCTCATCCTCTGTGAGCATTCTCTATTTATTTGTTAATTCCAGTAAATTCAAAATGTTTTTGTGGTTGTAATTAAGAAGATGAGCTCTCTATGCCTAGATAATATTCCCTATTATTTGGGGTTAGGAGTAGAAAGACACTTGTTTAATAATCCATTAAGTATGCCAGCAGTTAATATGGTAGCGCATACTGTTTAGTCTAGCAGCTTTCACTTTTTTTCATAAAGAGAAATTTTGCTCAGATACCCAACAAACAACATCAAACTCTTCTGGTTGAAGTAAACGGAGGGGATTGGGTGAGAGGTGGGGAAAGGTGGAGGCACAAAGGAACTGAAGCCCAGCCAGTTGGCTCCCTACCCGCCATCTGACAAAGGCCACTGGGAATTTCCAGCCACCCTGGAGTCCTGTGTAAAATCACTAGGTTAGTCTGCTATGTAATGTATTTTAATAAAAAGAAAATCTCTGCTTCTTCCTCCTGCTGATTCAGGGTCACAAATTGAATCCCATATTTTCACAGCCTATTATAAATATACTGCCATTTGAAACAACATAGATGGACCTTGAGAATATTACGCTAAGCGAAATAAGCTAGTCAGAAAAAGCTCAGAACCATGATTTCAATTCATATGTGGTATATAAAACTGAAACTCATACACATAGACAACAGTATGGGGGTAACCAGAGGGAGGGGGCTAGAGGGTAGTAAAGGGTAAAGTTGCCAAATATATGGTGATGGATGATTATTTGACCTTGGAAGATGGGCACACAACGCAATATATAGATATTATATCATAGAAATGTACACTTGAAACCTATATGACCCCATTAACCAATGTCAACCCAATAAATGTAATAAAATAAATAAATATATATGTTGAATAAATGAATTGACAAAGTGAATGAATACTTATAACCAAAATGAACAAAATCCTTATTATCGTCATAGTATTTGCTCTAGTTGACTTACATGGGATATGAGAATATAAATATAATGGAACTAGAGAAATAAACAAGTGAAAGTATCAACTACAACTAAATGCCAACATGTGAACATTTTAGAGGTTATTTTACAAAGTAAAAATGTATATACCTGGTATTCTTTGCTATCTATGGTAATAAAATGAATTCTAGGGCACATGTATGTTTTTGTTGCTCTGAATGTACATCTCCCTCTTTTGATAACAATGGCTTTAAAAAGTTTCCCATTTGGGGAATTACCCCTTCCCTACGCATCCAATCTTGGCAATCTGTCCATCAAAATGTTACAATCACTCCCTACCCACTGACCTCAAGCCTTGCCAAGGTGTAGGCACATTACCCAAGCTAGATTAGTCAGACCATCTGACCCTGACATATGAAAATGTCCTGGGTTGACAAGATGTAAGGGGAGAGATGGAGCTGTTCTGTCCATCCATTAGGATCTGCCACTTGAATCACTGCAGCTGTGCTAGTCTGGAGTCTTCTGAGCCCCAACTGTTCAGCCTCTTCTTTTTGTCTGTGGGCTACAGCACATCTTTCCAATAACACCCTTACTGTATTTATTAATGTATTTTTATTTGTATTTAAGTTAGCCAGAGTCCATTTCTGATACCCAAGAATTCTAAGACCCTGGGCACAAATAACACAGCCAGAAATATACTTGAAGAAGCTTAGATCAAACAAGTCATGTTCATGTGCCACAGTGAAATGTAGCCCAGTCTCAGCTTGGTTTATTAAGATTTATCTCAGTATTACCAGGTCTTTTGAAAATGATGCATGTAGTATCCTACTACCCACCCATATGCAAACTAAAGACCATTGAATTGAGATCAGGAGAAAAATTTACTGTAGCTTGGGGCAAGTTATAAAAACTTTTTAAATCCACTTTTCCTCATCTATGAAAGAATGAGGCTAAAGTATAAGGTCTACAATGCCTCCTGTAATTTGACAACATATGAATTTTTAAGTTTACAAATAGAAAATAACACATACCGCCTTTTTTTTTTTTTCTCTTTTGGTCAGAAGTAGGCATTCAGAAGGAGTCCCTACTGTCTTACTTCAAGGCAGTATTTAAATTTAACACCAGACCCACCCAGGACCAGATTAAGCTGTGGCGTGACTTTCCTCCCGAGCTTTGTAGAATCTTTTTTCTGATGGAAATCAGTGCCACTTTCTGTACTCACATTTTCCCTTTTCCGTTCTCCTTCTATAGTTGAAAAAAAAAAAATGAGTTATAATTAGAATCAAGAAAATACTCTAAGGATAAATACAATGTATCCTGTTTTTATAAAAGGTCATTCTTACAAGCTATCAAAGCCCTTTGCAACAAGTACCTAATTGATGGTCAAAGCCTCCTCTGTAGGAATAAAACACTGTGCCGGTTTACATACGAAGAAAGGAAAGAGGGAGTCGACAGACTTTTAGTTGACCATCTCAAATCTGGAAAAACAAATCCAAAATTCAGAGCACTTCCATTGTAAAACATTGAGTGGCAAAGGAGCTCAGTAAGTTGCAGATTATTTTAATGTTGACCTAGAAAGAAGTGTAATACATTTTTAATGAAAACAAAGTGAAAGACATATTCAAATAGCTAAGAGTAAATCCTAAAACAAATAGCTAATACAGTGGTTTTCAGAATAAAGTTCCTTGGTGACTAGTTGATGACTTCTGTGAAACTCCCATGTAAGTGTGACAAGCTTAATTTACTGTCAGCCTGCAGAAACTAGAACAGAGTCTGCACTTAAGACCGGGTTATACATACTGATAAACCAATACTCACAAGTGATGAGCATAACAATAACTGCATGTCACTCATTTAAACCAGAAACATATTTCCAGCACCAGCACCACCATGTTTTCTAACACAGTGTCCTCAGCTGGACCCGCCCAGGATCAGAGAGGAAGCTTACATGCCTCACTCATTAGATGATGCCTATTTAGCATTCAATCATCTACTCTCTTATTTATTCAAAAACTAATTATTCCACGTGCCAGGCACTGTGCAATGCTCTCTAGCAAATTAGTCATCCATGAATCAGTAGAACTAATTCTCTCATCTTAGAGCACCTAAGGATCCCAGGAGAATGTCCATCAACAAAGAAACTAGAAGACATTTCCTGACTTAACAGCATACCTTCATGCATTTTCCCTTTAATTATTTGGTGGAATAAGTGAGGATAGTCATCAGTCACTTATGACAGACTCATGGGAAGCCCTCATGTCATAGAGGAGCTAAAATGCCAGGCAACCTGGTAAAGTCCCAACTGAAGATTTTCCAACTGCACTGGACTTCCTGGTATAACTTAGGAGACACGGCACACATGGGCTCCTATCCACAGGGAAACACTCATCCCTGCCCTGAGCACAATAGACAAACATAGGCCACGCCTTCAGGTGTACAGAGGGAACGGGAGGGACCCTTTTGCAACACCTACCTTTCATCAGTCACTAAACTAGTCTCTTTGACAATCTTAACATCTTAATCTTCAGCAGTCCCTTGCTCAGTGAGACTTTCCCTGATCACTGAATCAAAAAATCAAACACTCACATCACATACCATGGACTTTATTTCTTTTTTTACTATTTGCTTGTCTCCTCTGTAATATGAAATCCCAAGGATGCAAAAACAGATTCCTGAACAATGTACCACTAGTCGGGACATGATAACCCAAACTCTTTTCCCTCCCAGTCATGGACCAAGTGGAAAACAGGATAGGAGGGCAAAAGGAGCTCTAACACTTTTCCTTTATTCCTGGTAAAGTGCGTGGAAACTGCTGCTGCTGCTATCCAAGGCAAAGTGGCAACCCCACACCTCCGCTACCACCAGCCCTGATTTAAACTATCCACTTAACGGCAGGCAGAAGGCCTGGAAAGTCAAAGTCCTGTCCCATGCAGCACAAAAGGGGAAAACAGTGAAAAGGAGACAAGACACATCTGGGACTCACTACCCAAAGTGCGATCCTCGGACCAGCAGCACCAGCACCTGGGAGCTTCTTAGAAAAGCAGACGCAAGCCCCACTCTAGGCTTCCTGAATTGGAACCAGTGTTTCCAGAAAATACCTCGGTGATCTGTACGCATTTAAAAAGTTCAATAACACATGTGAATAAAACTTAAAACTATTAACCCCACCAAGGATATGTGTTATAGGACTTAGGTTAGCAAGTAGGCAAAACCCTCTTCCTTCTACTATTAGGTGCCAATAAAATGAAGAGACAGACAACCTCATTCTGAATTTTTCCAAGAGAAGACACAAGTGATGATTTTAAAATATGAGCTGGTTTGCTTGTTTATTTGTTGCTTCTTAAGGACAGCAGGAATTGGGGCGGGGGTATAAATCTCTACCTCCACCCTTAATTTCTCTATCTTCTTTCTTCATCTATAAAAAAGGGAGTGATAACACCTGCTATTCGGGCCATGGTTAAAATTAAATGAGATGATACACATCAGAGTTCTTTGTAAACTATATAGAATTTTTTTTAAGTTTGTTCTTGTTACAAAGAGAAAACTCATATATCAGCAGCACCTCAGGTTTTAGAAATTCAGCATATTGTGCCATTGATGGATCGCAGAAGATTTTACAAATATGTTTATATTCTAGTGCTGATCAAACATGTGCAGTAGTAAAACAAACAATTTGATTTAAGAAATGGACTGAGGAGCTAAATAGACATTTTGCCAAAGAAGACACACAGATGGCCAACAGGCACCTGAAAAGCTGCCCGACATCACCAATCATGAGGGAATGCAATTCCAAAGGACTATGAGGTACCACCTCACACCTACAAGAACGGCTATTATCAAAAACACAAGAAATAACAAGTATTGGCGAGGACGTGGAGAGAAGAGTACCTTGGTGCACTGTTGGTGGAAATGTAAATTGGCGCAGTCACTATAGAAAACAGTTCCTCGAGAATTTAACAATAGAGCTACCATCTCATCTAGCAATTTCACTACTGGGTATCTATCTGGAGCGGCGGGGGGGGGGGGGGGGGACACTAAATGGAAAAAACATATGCATCTATATACTCATTGCAGCATTATTTATAATAGTCAAGACACAGAAACAATCTGAGTATCCATGGATGGGAGAATAGATAAAGAAAATATCACACACACACACACACACACACACACACAATAAAATACTATTCAGCTTTATAAAAAGAATGAAATCTTGCCATTTGGGACAACATGAATGAACCTTGAGGGCATTATGCAAAGTGAAATAAGTAGGCAGAGAAGGACAAATATCACATGATTTTACCTATATTTGGAATCTATAAAAAGAACAAAACAAAACCCAGACTCATAGATATAGAGAACAGATTAGTAGTGGTTGCTAGAGTGAGGGGGGTTGAGGGAGTGAAAAAGGTGAAGGGGATTAAGTACAAACAGTTATAAAATAAATAAGTCATGGGTATGTAATGCCCAGCATGGGGAATATAATCAATAATGTTGTACTAACTTTGGAAAGGGACAGATGGTAATTAAACTTTTTTTTTTTTTAATTCAACTTATTTTTTTTAACTCTTTATTGTTTAAAGCAGTGGTCAGCAAACTGCGGCTCTAGGGCCCCTTGAGTGTGGCTCTTCCACAAAATACCAACTTCTGCGCACGGGCCACGAAGTTTCAATCCCACTGCACGTGCACACCCGCACGTGGTATTTTGTGGAAGAGCCACACTCAAGGGGTCAAAGAGCTGCATGTGGCTCGCGAGCCACAGTTTGCTGACCACTGGTTTAATGTATTACATAAATCTCCTTGGTAATTAAACTTATTGAAGTCAACATTTCACAATGTATATAAATGCCAGATCACTATATTGTACACCTGAAACTAATATAATATCGTATGTCAATTATACCACAAGAAAAACAAGAAAGAAAATCCTGTTGATTTAAATGGGTAAAAAATTCATGAAGAAGTTTTTGAAATTGTATAAGTAAGAAGATGCTGAAAATACTTTATTAAATCTCTGCTTTTAGTTTCTGAATAAAAGTTTTGCAGAATGTATCTTTTTAAACTTTTGCAGTAGTGGTGTTTGTTGGCAAATCAAATGAATTTTTTTAATGTTAATATTTAACAGGCCAGTTTCTATGAGATAAAAATGAGGAGCTGAGAAGGAAAAGTTTGAAGGTTGGCTCTGGTATTTTGAAAAAGAAAAACATTCAATTAGGTATATGTAGACTATATATTTTTTTCAGAGCTACAAATATAAAAATATATATTTTTTTTTAGCTTTGAAAATTCAAAACTACTGTCTATCTCACTCTGACTGCAACTTGCCAAATGATTGTAATGTAGAAAATGGTTATCCTGAAATATGGCCTCAATAAACAGCTAGTTACCCTTTTTTTTTTAATTAGCAGGTAATGAGATATTTTGTCTATTTATACAGACACATAAATTTTAACTTGACGTTTGTTTCAAACTGATTAAACAACATATTCATATTTCAAAGATTATGAAGCTTTTCCTTGGGACTGGCCTTTTATCTTTAAAAGAAAACAATGCTAATAGTTTCCTTTTTCCTATATTCAATGACTATTTACTACCCTTTCTTGATGTGGGCTTTCAAAATACAAAGAAAGTTTGGCAAGTTTTCAATGTCCTTTTTTAAAGTCTGTTCTTAGGCGCTCGTATAAAAGCATAAAGAGTCCTTCTTAGGAGAATTGATAACGTCCCATGTTCAGTATTTGTATATTAAGGATTGTCAGTTACGTTCAGTGCATTCATTCATTGGAATCCGTCCTGTTAATCTGCATGCAACTGATTTCAGGGAAACAAAGTGATCAGAAGAAGTCAAGTTAACATAACAATTTCTTTTCTACAGAAAACAGCCCAAGACACTATGGGCCCAAAATTCAGAGCAAGTTACTGTATTTGTACATTTTAAGTCACACTTGGCAGTTTCTCCAAACACAGTGGTCAGGAATTGAAAAAAATAAACATGTGTTTCCAGGATTTTCTTTTCACATGCCACACAGAAAGTAATGTTACAACTGTTTTCACTCCCTTTAAAGAGTGCGTAAGGAAGAAACATTTGCCCATTTGTGTTATTTTAAGGTAGATTTTACAAAAAAAAACAAAAACAAACAAAAAACAAACAAAAAAAACAAAAAAACAAAAAAAAAAACCAACAACAAAAAACATTATGGGGCAAGATAAATATTACCTTCACCTTAAAAATGGAAGTTTAACTTCCCTGAAGGGATTTCTTCAAAAATCTGATCTATCCTTATACAGTGATATTTTGTGCTTCATTTTTTTAAAATATATTTTATTGATTTTTTACAGAGAGGAAGGGAGAGGGATAGAGAGTTAGAAACATCAATGAGAGAGAAACATCAATCAGCTGCCTCCTGCACATCTCCCACTGGGGATGTGCCCGCAACCCAGGTACATGCCCCTGACCGGAATCGAACCTGGGACCTTTCAGTCCGCAGGCCGATGCTCTATCCACCGAGCCAAACTGGTTTCGGCAGTGCTTTAAATCTCATACTTAAAATCAGAACACTTAGCACTTTCTATC